CTTGGAACTGAATGAGCAATCACTCGAAGAAGAAAAATGGTTACCTACCTTTTGTAACAATTGATCTTTGAGATGTGTTGCTTATGTCCATTCCAAAACCCACTCACCTCCCTTACTCCCCAAAGGAGAACATTGTGGGAAAAAGGGGAAGACCTCTCAAACCCTGTTTCTTAGAAGTCTCTTATCTTGGGCAAGACCTACCGCAACCAAAACAGTCTAAAAATAGCTAACAAAATAAAACCCTACAACTCAGTTTAATCTACACTAAGGCTAATGCTGTAAAATAACTATTTATACCTAGCTCTAAATAGTACACATGGCATGGAAATGGAAACTTTGGTTCCAGGACCACTGCAGCTGGATAGAAGAGCTGATGGATCGTTAGAGGGAAAGGGATATTTAGACCCTCAGTCTTTAGAATATTGGGCTCAAGTGAATTGCTCACCGTTCCTAACTGCCTTCTATTGCTCAAATAGGTTCTGTAGCCATGTGGTGTGGCTAGGTTAGGCCAGGTGACTCCTACACGGGGCTCTGTGGAGACTGTATTAGGAAGGAGAACCTTAATATTACATCTCACCTGGAAAAACATCACCACAGCACTATGTTGGGACACTAGCTTCCTAATGAACTGAAGTGGAAGAAGACACAATCACAAACATCATGTTCTGAAGACCTAGGTGACAGTGACCCTCAGAGGTCTCCCACCTAAGCTAACCTGCTTAGTCTCTGAAGGCTAATAGAAACACAACACAAGGAGGCATGGTTGTAAACATAGAGAGTGAGTCAATTAAATATTCCCATTGTTAAACAATTAAAATTGTACATTATTTTTCTCATGAATTTTACTTGTTTGTTTAGTACAGTAAAAGCCTAGAACATCTGATCCATTTTGCAGAATGAACTATGGTTTTCCCAGAAAAATAGATTATGACATTACTGGTGGCACTCTCCCTCCTCCCCAGGACCCCCACTACAGTTTTACCAAGTTTCAGAGGAACAGCCGTGTTAGTCTGTATTCGCAAAAAGAAAAGGAGTACTTGTGGCACCTTAGAGACTAACCAATTTATTTGAGCATGAGCTTTCGTGAGCTACAGCTCACTTCATCAGATGTTTACCGTGGAAACTGCAGCAGACTTTATATATACACAGAGAATATGAAACAATACCTCCTCCCACCCCACTGTCCTGCTGGTAAGAGCTTATCTAAAGTGATCATCAGGTTGGGCCATTTCCAGCACAAATCCAGGTTTTCTCACCCTCCACCCCACCACACAAATTCACTCTCCTGCTGGTGATAGCCCATCCAAAGTGACAACTCTTTACACAATGTGCATGATAATCAAGTTGGGCCATTTCCTGCACAAATCCAGGTTCTCTCACCCCCTCACCCCCCTCCCAAAAACCACACACACAAACTCACTATCCTGCTGGTAATAGCTCATCCAAAGTGACCATTCTCCCTACAATGTGCATGATAATTAAGGTGGGCCATTTCCAGCACAAATCCAGGTTTTCTCACATCCCCCCCACCCCCATACACACACAAACTCACTCTCCTGCTGGTAATAGCTCATCCAAACTGACCACTCTCCAAGTTTAAATCCAGGTTAAACCAGAACATATGGGGGGGGGGGTAGGAAAAAACAAGAGGAAAACTTCAAATCCAGACTCCAATGAGAAACTGCTGAATTGGAATTCATTTGCAAATTGGATACTATTAATTTAGGCTTAAATAGAGACTGGGAGTGGCTAAGTCATTATGCAAGGTAGCCTATTTCCTCTTGTTTTTTCCTACCCCCCCCCCCCCATATGTTCTGGTTTAACTTGGATTTAAACTTGGAGAGTGGTCAGTTTGGATGAGCTATTACCAGCAGGAGAGTGAGTTTCTGTGTGTATGGGGGTGGGGGGGATGTGAGAAAACCTGGATTTGTGCTGGAAATGGCCCACCTTAATTATCATGCACATTGTAGGGAGAATGGTCACTTTGGATGAGCTATTACCAGCAGGATAGTGAGTTTGTGTGTGTGGTTTTTGGGAGGGGGGTGAGGGGGTGAGAGAACCTGGATTTGTGCAGGAAATGGCCCAACTTGATTATCATGCACATTGTGTAAAGAGTTGTCACTTTGGATGGGCTATCACCAGCAGGAGAGTGAATTTGTGTGGTGGGGTGGAGGGTGAGAAAACCTGGATTTGTGCTGGAAATGGCCCAACCTGATGATCACTTTAGATAAGCTATTACCAGCAGGACAGTGGGGTGGGAGGAGGTATTGTTTCATATTCTCTGTGTATATATAAAGTCTGCTTCAGTTTCCACGGTATGCATCTGATGAAGTGAGCTGTAGCTCACGAAAGCTCATGCTCAAATAAATTGGTTAGTCTCTAAGGTGCCACAAGTACTCCTTTAGTTTTACCAAGTGACTGCATATACATCTTGGCTCTAGAACTAGTCCCTCTGGTTGCAATGATTCATCTTTCAACATGAGTATCCACCACCTAACAATCTGGAGGTAAGTACTAGTAAAAATGTCACCTAAGGAGGAGTCAACTTGCTGAAATATTTTGTTCTTGTGGATTCAGTCTCTTTGCACACCAGCTTCTGACAAGTGCTTCAAGGAGATACATTCATTCTTGGGAGAGTGGGGAGGAAAAGACTAATTTTGTTTTATATTGATTCTATGGCAGATTGAGAAAAGTTTCTAACAATCACGATGGAGTCCAGACCAAACCTTCTTAGCTGGAATTGGTAGCTGTGACAGAGTGCCTAGCACTACAGTGGAACAAATAAGGACATCCTCAAGACTTATGGCCAAATTCCCTGCTGTTGTGATTCCACTGACTTCACAGTCAAATCCCCTACTGTTGTAATTCTATTGACTTCAGGATCAAATTCCCCGCTGGTGTAATTCCATTGACTTCAATACAGTTGTGCAAACAGATAATTTTTCCCTCTGGTTTTTTACTGCACAAAAGGATATTAATCTTTTACTGCACAAGATAACAAAATATACTATTTTTAGTGTCTCCACAATTTCTCCCTTTGCACAAAGCAGTTTACACAATCCCAGTTTCCTTTTCAGTGTGCTGCACAGTATTATTTTCAAACACTTTAACAGTTCAAGTTGCACTTCAAGGAGCTGCAGACAGATTTCCAACTGTTGAACAAAGAGGAAAAGAGACAGTGCTGGGAGAGATTTAGGCATGTTCCAAAATGAAAGTGAACATGGGGCCTCACATAAGCACATATGGACTCAACCTAACACATCTTTTCTAACTGCTATGATCTTACTAGTGGCATCTGAAAGTGGATAGCCAAAATTGACAAAGGTCCTCTATGAGCCAATTTACAGCAGTGGGTAAAGATTAGAGATGAGTACCTCACGTTGACAGTTTGTCAGAAAACTAAAAGTGTCCTTCCAAAATCAAAAACTTGAAAAACAAAAAACAAAGCTCAGTTTTCCACAAAAAGTAGATGCTTTTTACAAAAAAATTAATCAAAAATCTCAGTGTTAGTTGTAAAACAGTTTCAACTGAATTTTTTTCCATCGGCTGTAGTACAGATTTTATGTCTGATTTGAAACAGGGTTGGCAATGCCTTAAGAATTGTGCCCCCCGTAGTATCACTTTCTACTCCCTTTTACTTAAAGTTTACTTCACCTTTAGTTCTGTCTGAGATGGAAACAGTATAAACATTTGGAGCCTGATCCCACACAATGCTGAGCTCCTCTTGAGAGATGCTGTTGACCTCAACTGCTCCTCATTTGTCCCTCTGGAATGGAGGATGCAAAAACCCTACAGAACTGGGTCTATTGAGATGTAATTTATTAGTTTCCAAACATCTCCCATTCCTAGAATGCCCATCAAGGGCTGAATCCTCAGAGCTTCCACATGTGGAAATTCCATGGAAGTCAATGGGAACTTCACGCTCAAGAGTCCAGGGCTAACTGGATCAGGCCCCAATTCACCTGACAGCAATTCCCCTAATATTAATAGTGCTGGGGCAGGCTATTATACACGTGTGTTCACGCCCCCGACGGGTCGGTCTGTGCCCCGCGCGGACCCCTCCCCTTACCTAATGCCCCGGGCGGGTCGGTCTGTGTCCCCGGCCCCCCCGTCACCCAACGCTCCGGGACGGATCGGTCTGTGCCCCCGGCCTCCCCCGTCACCCAACGCCCCGAGACAGATCGGTCTGTGCCCCCGGCCCCCCCGTCACCCAACGCCCCGGGACGGGTCGGTCTGTGCCCCCCCCGTCACCCAACGCTCCGGGACGGGTCGGTCTGTGCCCCCGGCCTCCCCTGTCACCCAACGCCCTGAGACGGATCGGTCTGTGCCCCCGGCCCCCCCGTCACCCAACGCCCCGGGACGGGTCGGTTTGTGCCCCCGGCCCCCCCGTCACCCAACGCTCCAGGCGGGTCGGTCTGTGCCCCCCCCCCCGTCACCCAACGCCTCCAGGACGGGTCGGTCTGTGCCCCGGCCCCCCCGTCACCCAACGCCCCGGGACGGGTCGGTCTGTGCCCCCGGCCCCCCCCCCGTCACCCAACGCCCCGGGACGGGTCGGTCTGTGCCCTCGGCCCCCCCCTGTCACCCAACGCCCCGGGACGGGTCGGTCTGTGCCCCCGGCCCCCCCCGTCACCCAACGCCCCGGGACGGTGCCCCCCCCCCCCCCCACCCAACGCCCCGGGCGGGTCGGTCTGTGCCCCCGCCCGTCACCCAACGCCCCGGGCGGGTCGGTCTGTGCCCCGGCCCCCCCCCGTCACCCAACGCCCCGGGCGGGTCGGTCTGTGCCCCCGGCCCCGCCCCGTCACCCAACGCCCCGGGCGGGTCGGTCTGTGCCCCCGGCCCCCCCCCCCCCGTCACCCAACGCCCCGGGCGGGTCGGTCTGTGCCCCCGGCCCCGTCACCCAACGCCCCGGGCGGGTCGGTCTGTGCCCCCGCCCCCCGTCACCCAACGCCCCGGGCGGGTCGGTCTGTGCCCTCGTGGCCGGCTGAGGGAGCCGCTCTCACCTGAGCCACCACATGTAGCCGTGCTCGTAGGGGAAGAAGCTGTGGGGGTCATCGCAGCAGTACTTGACGTCCTGGAAGCCGCAGCAGTACAGGGCGCTCGCCTCGCCGTCCGCCCGCGGGCAGCTGAAGCCGCTCACCGGCGCCCCGTCGGCGCTCAGGTAGCTGGTGCAGTCGGAGCTCATGGTGCGGCGGGCGCTGCGGGCGGGAACCCTCACCGGCTCCGGACCGGCAAAGTTGGCTGGAGCTGGTGCCAGAGCGCGCCGCGCCGTGGGGAGCCGCGACAGATGCTGCCGGGCAAGCGGCCCCCGCCTCCGCCTCCGCCTCCAGAGGCGGCTCCGCAGAGTCCCCTGGAGAGCGGAGCGCGGCCCCCCGGTGCCTGTGGCGGGGGCCTCGCACCCCGCCCGGGCCACTGTATCCCACCCGCCTCCCGCCCGGGCCAGCCCGCGGGCTCCCCCTCCAGGACAGCTCCGGGAAGCTCTGCACTGTGCCGCGGTTGGGATTCTGTGGAAGGGGCCCGATCCCCCCTGCACTTCGGTTACATCAGGGAAGGATTAAGTCCAAAGACTTTCCTAAAACTTGTTTCTCTCGTCCCACTGCCCTCTGCAGACCAGACGGAGAAGGTACGGAGCTTTCACTGCGGTGATTTTTGTTATGCTGACAGTTTTTATCCATACAGACGAAACCAATCGCTTATAACCAAGAGAGACATTTCATAGAATATCAGGGTTGGAAGGGACCTAAGGAGGTCATCTAGTCCAACCCCCTGCTCAAAGCAGGACCAATCCCCAATTTTTGCCCCAGATCCCTAAATGGCCCCCTCAAGGATTGAAATCTCAATCCTGGGTTTAGGAGGCTAATGCTCAAACCACTGAGCTATCCCTCCCCCCCTTAGGGTTTTCACCCCTTAGGGTACTTTTCACTATTTAAAATACAGTAATTGTCTTTCTCTGCAAAACATAACAATCCCTTTAACCCAAAACCATTTCAGCCCCAACAACTGTCATGATGTAGACATCTGATGTAGCTGGACAATCCCAGTTGCAGACAACCCAGTGTTTATAATGATCCTTTACTTCCAACATTGCCACCTCGGGGCAGGACGCATTATCTCAAACTTTCCCAAGAGCATTTCCTCCTCCAACATGGCAAATGACACGTGGATTTTGTTATCGTTGTTAAATTTTAGACATTTCAGCGTATCTAGAAAGAAAGCCTGAAGATAATTTTCTACAAAATGACAGGTTTCAGAGGAACAGCCGTGTGAGCCTGAAGACAACCAATTTATTTGAGCATGAGCTTTGGCACGAGCTACAGCTCACTTCATCAGATGATGAAGTGGTTGAGAAGAGTAAAAATGTTAGGGAATACAAAATGTTGCCTGAAGCCTATTATGGGCACCTGGCACCAAATATGAATAATGAACACTTGACTACAGTAGTCATAGCCATTACACTGAAAAAATACATTTCAATAGCATATAGGAATGTTATAGTTAATTATGTTGTTTGGAGACCAGTTGCATATGGAAAAAATCCCAGCTCTGGTCATTTTGTTAATATCATTTCATCAGTACATTGTATTTAATTTTCTAGTTTTGGTTTTTTGACATTAAAAATGTACAGAGATAAATTCCTGATCCAAACTAAAAGCTAAGTCAAAGGGAAAGTGCAAAGCTTTAAAAATGTGTCAAAACATCCCCCTCTCCTTTTTTTTTTTTTTTTTAAGATCCCAAATCATTATGGGTGAATGTCACCTGTAGTTCAGGATGCCTTTATAAAGAGCCAGATCCACAACCCTTTGAGGTTAATAGAGTCTTTACCATAGACTCAGTAGAGTCTGGCTGAAGCCCGAAGGTCCTCTGCCCCATAAGTGACCCTCCAAGGGAGAAAATAGTCCTGTCCTTTTTGTGTGGTATAAAAAAGGTGTGAAAGGGTTCAACAAAATGATTCTGCTTGTAGTTTATATTATTTCAGGGCTTGTCTTGAGCGAACCGTAGGAGGAGCCAAGAGTTCATATCTACCAACCAACATGTTATAATGCTACTTTCCCTGCCTATGTTAGGATTTAAAAACATGTTAGCTAGAAAGTTTTTAAAATACACATTTTATCCTAGTCTACACAAGCCCTAGGATTAGCACCTATTGAAGTGAATGAGGCATTTGTTTCAGGCTCTCAGAAAACTCAGGTGTATATCACTGCATCAGTTACAAGGATTTATCATAAGAATGGCCATACTGGTCCAGCTAGTTCAGTATCCTGTCTTCTGACAGTGGCTGCTGCCAGATGCATCAGAGGGAATAAACAGAACAGGGCAATTATTGAACGATCCATGGCAGCTTCTGGCAGTTGGAGGTTTATGGATATCCAGAGCATGGGTTTGCATACCATTGATGGACCTATCCTCAAGGCACTTATTAAATTCTTTTTTTTTAACCCAGTTATACTTTTGGACTTCGCAACATCCCCTGGATGTATACAGTGGCATGATGATATTTTCTGTTTTATTACCTAGACCTTTCTTAATGGTTCCTAACATTCTGTTAGCCTTTTTGACTGCCGCTGCACACTGAGCAGATGTTTTCAGAGAACTATCCATGATGACTCCAAGATCTCTTTTTTGAGTGTTAACAGCTAATTTAGATTCCATCATTTTGTACGTATAATTGGAATTATTTTTTCAAATGTTCTTTACTTTGCATTTATCAGCACTGAATTTAATCTGCAACCATAACAGCTAGACAATTCCTTTAAAAAAACAATAAAGCCGGAGAACAATCAACAAGCCTGTCTGGGTCCTTCAGCTAGTTCTTTGTATCCCTCGGGGGCACATCCCACACTTTGGGAAACATTGACGTAAGCATTAAACATTTCCTTTGGAATAACTTCCAAATAGGCATTCAGGCAAGGTTCCTTCTGCCTGTCCTTGGCAGCTATCCAGAGGAGAATTTAAAGATTCCTTGGCAGTAGGGGTTTCAGTCCAGCATCCACATCCCTAAAATCATCAGCAGAGATGACAGTATCTAAACCCACCTGTTGACAGTCTCAGTAAAAAGCTGTGGAATGAATGGACATGAAGATGGAACTATGTTCTCATTTTCTTTCCAGGACAGGGAGGTATGTTGGCAGGGGAGTGTCTAGAAAGCATGTCTGGTTGCTGTCTCTGATGGTTCTGTTCTGTGGATTAATAGAGGACTTCAAACCTCCAGAGTGGTCATTTAAAAAGTGGCACCTTTTGTGAATATTATATTCCCACATAAACATTTAAGAACAAAGCCTAGGGGATAACCCCAGCATCACACCCATTGCATGCTCCCAAATTCTGCTTTCCTGCTTCCCCAACCTACAGGCTTCCTGCACCTGTAGAACTGCAGCCATGATTTGCCTCTCAATTTGTAGATGTATGAATCCCCAACAAAGGTCCAGAATCATTCAGCTGCCCTAGGTGCCTAAAGGTTGAGCAATACAAGAACTGGACTCAGGCACTTGAAAGCCACCTTAGCACCTGGTGCTGCATTAAGGAAAGTGACAGGTTCGTCAGTGAGGTGGCTTCCACCTCCACAGAAGCATGCCACCCCAGTTCACCACTCTCCTTATTACAAAGAGCTTAGACATGTCTACAGTAAAACAAAATTGAAGTTTATTTAACAGAGCTTGAGACTGGGATTCAAATAAAAGCAACTATAAGGGTTTGGAAACATAAGTTTACAAGTAAAAGAAAAGCAAAAAATGCAAGCTATAGCCTCTACACTTATTAACAAGTTTCAGAGTAGCAGCCGTGTTAGTCTGTATTCGCAAAAAGAAAAGGAGTACTAGTGGCACCTTAGAGACTAACAAATTTATTTGAGCATAAGCTTTCATGAGCTACAGCTCACTTCATCAGATTCATCTCCCCACTGTATTTTCCACTGAATGCATCCAATGAAGTGACATCTTCCCTCTCACAGCATTGATGCTGAATCAACTGATGCACTTAAGGCTAGAGGGGCCATCATGATAATGTAGCTTGACCAACATAACAAGTACTCTTGGCTGATCCAAGAGTTGACTGTAGTTTACTATAAAACTCAGTCCATTTGAACAAATGGATGTCTGTATTCAGTAATTTGGACCACATTCAGCCTGTTGTTGAGCAATGTGCTAATGTGTTGTAAATGGTGCATTAGGTACCATCCAACAAAGTCACATTAGGCCTTACTCACCTTTGCGTTATTCCAGCATTAAACCAGTGTCATTCCATTTATGATCCCAGCATAAAACTGGAATAACACAGAGATGAACCAGACCCATAAAGCTTGTCACTTACCAAAAACCAAAACAAAAATACATGTTTAAACCCCTGTTTCATTGTAAATATTTCAGGTTATGAGTCCCATTTTGCAAACAAATTTTTTGTATTATGTGGGTCTGATTCTGCAATGTCTACTCAGGCAAAACTCTTAAAGTCAACAGGTATTTTGTCTAAATAATGGCTGTGAGACCAGGCTCTGAAGTGATTTCTTCTTCCTCTGTCATACCATACAGGGACATATAATAACGTGCAGTTATGTATCTCGTCACTTATCTTAGACGTTAAACCAATGTGACGTATTTCTTACAGGGATAGTCTACATCTGTCAGATCTGCATGCTATAAATCTTAAAGCCCTAGACAATTGCTATCCATTCACAAAAATGTATGTTTGTTAACACATACCAAATCTTTCTGTAATACAGGCAAGTTGCAATGCAGATAAGATTTAAGCATGGCACATTCAATGGTTCTACGTAGTTTCCAGGAGGTGCCCTAGGGAAGATCCCTGTCAGACTTGAACTGTGTTAGAATTCATAAGCCAAAGGAATAATTTCTGATATCTACACACTTGTTGAATCCTCAGAGAACAAATACAATCCAGTGCAATTTGGCTTGTTATCTATGGTTTGTCTATCTAGTGACAAGATCATATCAAATGATTAGAGGACAGATTTCTCTCCTAATAAAAAATTATGATTTACATTTATCTAGCACCTTTCATCCTGAAAGACCTAAACTTGCTCTGCCAACTATGACTTCAGCCCAACAAAGGATTTAAACATGTTATATGCTTAACTCTCAGCACATGACTATTTCTGTTAACTTAAATGTAAGCATTCATGTGCTCAAGTCCTTTACTGGATCAGGGTTTAAGTGTACTAGCTTACATAGTATTCATTTCATCCACCACTAAACTGTTGCCACTGGTAAGGTGGACTGCATCAGCTGTTTAACACTGTGCAGCATCACTAGCCACCAGTTTAGGACAGAAAGTGAAGAGGAATTTAAGGAACCTAGACTGTATTAATTACCACACTTGAACTTTGGCTAGGACACTGGGGCTAATGCTCCTATTATTATGAAGAGTGCTCTGTGCTGGTCAGAGCCTCAGTTATATACCTTATCCAAAGGGCAGTATTTCCAGCAGCATAATGCCTGCCACTACCATGCTGGGACACTGTTTCCGTATTTATGTAGAGGGAAGAGAGCCACATACTGAATCATTAATCACTTTTCTTCCATTACCCTGGATTCTCCTTGGTGATCTCCCTGCCACATAACAGACACACCAGACTCTCCTTCACTTGAGAGGTGTGATGAAGTCACTGCTACGACTCATTTAGCAAATAGACTGAATAATAGAAAAGACCTGGGGATTTGCTGCTCTCTTCTTCCTGCATGCCCATGTATCTATGTGCCACACCCACTAGCACTGATTTTCCTTGCTTGCATAGGTGTAAGTTACGCCCTTCATTTTAGTCTAACATCGGTTTGTAGGACTGAACATGTTAATTAGTGTCAATATTGCCTGATTCTGGAAATTTCCACAATTTCCAACTGCAACTGGCTCAGAGATTCTTTGCCCTTCTGCCTTGGGGCTGTGATCTGCCCCTCCATCTCCTTTATTTGTCTTCTCTCTCTCTCTCTCACACACACACACACACACACTTTTTTCCTTTTATTCCCCTGCCCCTTTATTTTATTTATTTATTTATTTATTTTTAAAAACTCATCAGATTTTCTCAGATGATGTCAGCTTGCTTGATGCAGTAGAAAACACAGTTCAGGTTCCAGTTCCCCTGGCCTTTCTGCAAGTCTCAAGGCAGTTCCAGCTTCTACCCTCTTGGACTGCTCCTGATAGGCATCCATGACCCTAGCAGCAGCTGTGCAGGTCCAGGAACCATCAATTGCTTTAGCATCTCTCCTTTCCTCTCCATCCATTCATCTGCTCCTCACCCTGTTGCAAGACAGGAGGCATCATGGTACACACACACACCTCTTTATTCTACTGGAGTACACCGGGATAATTATGAATGTGTCTGATTGCAACAGCCATTTAGAAAGTGTTTACACTGTATGCAAAATGCTAAAATAGTTTATTGTTTTACCATTTTAAAAACACTATGCAGCACAAACCAGCTTTATTGTGTCAACAATATTAGAACTGGGCAATATTATACTTTTTTAAAGCATCCTAGGGTTAGGAGCATGCTGGCCCCTAGAGCTTGTTTTATAAATAATTGCCTTATTTTACTATCTAGTGCTGATAGTCCTCCAGTGCCTTCCCACAGTTCCCCTCAAAGGGTAGAAAAGTTATCCCACAATTGACAGGCATTGCATACCCATTGGTTCTTTGTGCTGAGATGCTCTAGGATTCTTTCCCTGTCCACTGTGGGAGAACTTGTGTATTCTTTTGGAGGGAAACTATGGGAAGGCATTGGAGGACTATCAGCATTTAAATGATTTTGCCTATGTCCTCATTGCAAAATAGGCAGGCTCCAACCTCAGCTCTAACCCCCGACACCTGAGTAAGCTAACCTAGGCTTAAAGCACCTCCAAACCCAGGTCAGAAGTTTTTCTGTATGGATGGCAGGGAGGGGTAAGGCTAAAACCTAAGTAAGAGCCTCAGTTAACGGTGTAGTGTAGACACCATGTGTGCAAGAACATGTTACCCTCCACTGGTGGGCTATGCTAAAAACGATATCCTATGAGTGTTTCTGTAGGTGACAGCTAACAGAGATCTTTGTTTTAGCTTAAGTGGTAGTAGCCTCATACTTTTGGAGCTAAAGTAACAGAGCTTTTATCTCAGCTGAATAGGTCTATGAAGTTTTATATTAGCAAGGGGAGAATATTGCCATTTTTAAGGTTCCAATCACAGTCCAATTTTAAGGCGGAATTAATCTTCCTTGTAAGAACCACTTCCTCTCCCTATTGCCCACCTCCCTATCCCCCAAGAAAGATAGAAATCTTTATGCTTTTAAATAATTAGGGTTAAGGCTCACTGGCAACTGGAATGTTTTTTGAACATTTTGATTAAACTGAGTAAGTATCTTTTGAGATTAAAACATTTTAAAGTGTCACCAGTTCGAAAATTTTGCATTTTCTAATGTTTCTCTCTATCCTTAGATCTGCCCAATGCAATCACATTACACCACAAGATTTGAATTATAAACTGAACATAGATTTTAACATTGGTTTAGACAAGAGGCAGTTTTCAAAAGCAAAAACAGTAAAATGCGTAAGAAATTTCCATTAGTTGTTCACTTGTCATGATTCTGTCAGTGAAACTGAGGAAAAAAATATCACAGTGACTAAGAATATTTTTACCATGGAGCTCTGAATTGGCCAAGGCTACTTTCCAGAGTTAAAGGAAAGGTCAGGATCTGGTTTAATGATTCTCCTTCCTGCATGATCCACCCTTTGGTCTAGGATGAAATGTGGTACAGGTCCATTTTCCTGATTGAGGAACTGAGTAGTCTCATTTTTTTTATTATGCTGTAGCCCCCTTATACTGTACTGGTATATAATTCTCTGTTATACCAAGGCCCCTTTTTGCTGCTTTGGCAGAAACAATCCCCTGAGAATATACCCTACATAAAGAGCCTCACCAGCTGGCACAGACGATGCCAGGCCTGCTCTAATCCACTCCTATGCTCCCCCGCCTCCCCACAAACACAAAACCACCACCACCTGCAAAGAGTACTGGGAACATTTATTTAATGTGTGCAACCGGGTACCTTGGGAACACGTTTCTATATTTATAAGGCTATTCTCTGCTTCCCAGGTTCCACAGGGGACCTAGGGCAGCAGATCAAACACTAGAGCAGCCCCATGGTAAATGTGTGTGCTTTTGTCAGATGTGCTTTGAATGAGGCAGGGCTTTGCAGAAGCCATTAAACTTGGACAGCACCACTAATTCCTTTAATTTAATAATCTGTCCAATCCCATTTATTTAAAAGTTTAAAAATGCTGTCTTACATTTGGCTACATTTTAAAAATAATTAAAGTTTCTGGGTGATATCAGAGGACTTGGCTGTCACATCATTTATCAAAACGAAGCACTTAAAACTGAATAAACAAGGACATCATTAATCTTACATTGCCCACAAAATAAACACATTATTCATATGGTGCCAGCAGATTTCAAAACCACCTTAACTCTGACTCAGAATCAGTACTGTTCTTTCTCCCAAAACATGAAGCACCATACAAAAACTTTTTGAAAAAAGAAACCTAACAATAGGGGTAGATTCTCAGCTGGGATAAATCATCTTAGCTTGTTGATTTTAATGGTGCTAAATTGATTTAGCCAGAGGAGAATCTGGCCTTATAGATGTTCAAATTAATTATACAGATTTTTCTAATGTCACTCAGTAACCCTTTTTTAAACAAAGAATTTAAAGACAGTTCACACAACTTATGGAGAATCTTTTTGTAGGAAATGTTGTCTTTTATTTCGGTTCTATAGATGAGGCCTCCCCATGCCCTTCTCCCCCAGTTACCCATGACACAAATAAAGAAAGTGAAGTGTCTGTCCTTTATAACTAAGCAGACACATATCATTATAAGTGTGTCTGCTTTGAGGAAACCTATTTTTGCCTGCCCCTTATAACTGTGTCCATACTACGCCGAGTGCACTCTTCTACTTTGGGTTGCATTTTTAAATGAAATTCATGGTCAAAATCATGACAAATCAATTGCAGTTGCTAGTAAGGTCTCTCTAAGGAAATTCTAGCTGTACTGAGCCTGGCTGCCAAAAAGATGCTAATTGGCTCTTCATAATACCATCAACAATTCATTATTTGAGTTAGTAAAATGAACAAATGGCTGATAATTTTTTTCTGAGAAGGCACATATTAAATTCAGTAACTTTGTAATGATAGCACAAACCTAAGTTAAATCACCTTTTACCACATTCAGTTATTGTTTCCTGTATTCTTAGGATGATGGGGAAAACTTCAATTAGTCATAATGATTTCCTGTCCCTCTATTTTCTCTTTTGGAATGCAAACAGTCAAATTACAGTCCTAATTATCAATCAAGGTATAATAGATGTGATGGGAATTTTGAAAGTCACAGTTCATCTTTCTGCTTCAGGATGATTTTCCTCACAAGCTCCGTGATGTAAGGCTTTATTTCTTCAATAGTGACAGTTGAGTCCCAAGCCTTTACTACTTTCCCATTAGGGGCTATCAGGTACTTCCAGAAGTTCCAGGTTGGTTCTTCTCCTGTGGATTCTGTGAAGGAAAAAAAAAATACAAACAGAAGAGAAAACCACACGAACCAGTTCCTGACATTTTAGTATGATGATGTGTTAATCAGCGCCTTAAGGAAAGAAAGTACATAACATCAAGGGGAAAACATTAGGTTGATTATCAGGAAGGATTTCCTGACAGGGAGATTGTCAAGGTTCCTCCCCCACTCTGAACTCTAGGGTACAGATGTGGGGACCTGCATGAAAAACCTCCTAAGCTTATCTTTACCAGCTTAGGTCAAAACTTCCCCAAGGTACAAAATATTACACCCGTTATCCTTGGAATGGCCGCTACCACCACCAAACTAATACTGGTTACTGGGGAAGGGCTGTTTGGACGCGTCTTTCCCCCCAAAATACTTCCCAAAACCTTGCACCCCACTTCCTGGACAAGGTTTGGTAAAAAGCCTCACCAATTTGCTTAGGTGACTACAGACCCAGACCCTTGGATCTTAAGAACAATGAACAATCCTCCCAACACTTGCACCCCCCCCTCTCCTGGGAAATGTTGGATAAAAAGCCTCACCAATTTGCATAGGTGACCACAGACCCAAACCCTTGGATCTGAGAACAATGAAAAAGCATTCAGTTTTTTACAAGAAGACTTTTAATAAAAAATAGCAGTAAATAGAAATAAAGAAATCCCCCCTGTAAAATCAGGATGGTAGATATCTTACAGGGTAATTAGATTCAAAAACATAGAGAACCCCTCTAGGCAAAACCTTAAGTTACAAAAAAGATATACAGACAGAAATAGTTATTCTATACAGCACAATTCTTTTCTCAGCCATTTAAAGAAATCATAATCTAACACATACCTAGCTAGATTACTTACTAAAAGTTCTAAGCCTCCATTCCTGTTCTGTCCCTGGCCAAGACGACTACAGACAGACACAGACCCTTTGTTTCTCTCCCTCCTCCCAGCTTTTGAAAGTATCTTGTCTCCTCATTGGTCATTTTGGTCAGGTGCCAGCGAGGTTACCTTTAGCTTCTTAACCCTTTACAGGTGAGAGGAGCTTTCCCCCCCATGTGGAATCAGACAGATTGCCAAGGTGCATGTGACAAGGTGTACCAGGCCCTTTGAGGCCCCCGCTGGAGACCTCATGGTCCTTCCATGCTCTGCCCCAGAAAAGGAGAAGGGAAGCAGCCAATCGGAGCACCGCAGGCTCAAATAAAAGGAGCTGCAGGGGCTGTATGCAGTGATGTCCCAGACTAGGACCAGAGGAGTAAGGAAGGGTATTCCTTGCTAGAACTCAAGTGAGACACAAAAGATGGGTTCTGGTGGAAATGGCATTTGGTGAGGCAGAGAAGAGTAGAGAACTTCAGCCCTGAGGTAAAGGTGAAGAGGAAAGGGCTATGTGGAAGCAGCCTGGGGAATAGCAGCAGCAAGTACTGAAGGAAGCGAAGCAGTATGTAGCTGCCATTTGTAGGGTCCCTGGGTTGGGACCTAGATAGTAGACAGGCCTGGATCCTGCCACTGGCAACGTGGCCAAGGCCCTGAGAAGGGGGCATATTTTGTTTAGTAGCCCAAGCCCAGGGATGGAACTTAAAGGACTCAAGAATGGCTGAAGACTCCGCAGAGGGCCAACCATTTGTTGAACTTTGTTACTCCTGTCCCCTGGAAGGGAGCTGAACTTGAAGGAGTGACCCAGCTGGGGCAATAAGAACTGTTATGGCAAAGAGTCTCCAGGGAGAAAGCCCCAGAGGTACTGCTCTATACCAGGGCAGGCATGGTCTTAAAGCCAGCCTAGAAGGGGCTGAGGACTGAGCACAGAGACATGGCTAAAGATTTTAACAAGGGCACAGGGACAGACCCTGTTTAGACCTCTTATCCTGGAAGGGGTTTGTTAATGCACATTGACTGTATGTCACTTGGCCAGAGAGCTGGACTAGTGAAGACCCACCTGATGAGGTTGACTGCTGAAAAGCGGTGGTGGGAGCAGAGAGAGAAAGTGCAGGTTTGCACACAACCGACAGGAGGCACTAATGAGAGGTGAGTGTTTCCTGTCACACTGCACTGCCAGGCTTATGCTGGTGACTGTCCCACTCTCACAGCCTCATGCTACATGTGGAGCATTGGGGAAGGATGAGATTTGCAATCTGCATGCGATATGCAAGTGGCAGCTGAGACGTTATTGACATGAACTGTGACCGTATAGATCATTGCTGTAACCAAGGTCCTACAGTTGCACCAAATCTTGTACAAAGGAGGTCAAGTAAGGTGTCTATGGAAAGGTTGTAATTTGCTGGTTATGATTATGCTGTCTGTATTGGCTATGTACTTGTATCTCAGTGTGTTTGTTTCTAAGTAGCATCAGTGAAGCATTTGGTCAGCTTCTTGAGAAAGGACTATTCTGAGTCAGTGCCCAATCAAGAAATACTTAACTGACAATGGACTTTGGGAGACGCCAATCCACATCTGAGCTTTCCTGGGAACGTTCAAACTAACATGTAAACAATGGCGTTGGCCTGCAAAAAGCTGAATCCATGGACATGTGATTTGCCCAAATGGCTACAAACTCCATCTTGTTGCTGTGATTTTGCACAGAAGAACAAAAGGGGTTTCCGCCCACACGAGAGAATATAAAAGGCCCTGGAAGCCTCTCTATTTTTTCTTCAGCTGGCTCAAGAGATGGCCTCTCCACCCCAAAGAGATGCCTGAAAGAAACTGGGACAAATGGGTGTGTGAGTGATTGCTGGTTCCAGGCCATAAACTACAACATTGGTCTGAAAAGGATTGGGCCCAAACTAGGAAGGCGTCTAGTCTGTGAAAGAAGCTTATTGGAACATTTCTGAGGGTGAGATTTACCTATATTCAGTTTCTCAATGTATTAGGCTTAGACTGGTGTGTTCTGTTTTATTTTGCTTGGTAACTTACTTTGTTCTGTCTGTTATTATTTGGAACCACTTAAATCCTACTTTTTATACTTAATAAACTCACTTTTGTTTATTATTTAACTCAGAGTAAGTGATTAATACCTGGGGGAGAAAACAGCTGTGCATATCTCTCTATCCATGTTATAGAGGGTGGACCATTTATGAGTTTACCCTGTATAAGCTTTATACAGAGTAAAATGGATTTATTTGGGGTTTAGGCTCCCAGAAAGACTGAATACTAGGCACTGGAAAAGTCCCTGTTAACTGAGAAGCCCCTGGGGCTAAGTGAATCTTAGTTTCTGTGAACTGCAGGGATGTGTGGCCCAACCTCCTGGTCTGTGCTGAAGCTGACTGGTGTGACTAGCTCAGCAAAATAGAGTGGAGGGAAGCCTTTTCTGGCAGGGGGGTTTGTTCTCAGTGGTATCCCAGCACATCTAGTGACCGTCTTGAGGGAGTTTCTGTGACCCAACCCATCACAGCAGCTATCCTACCTGGTGAACCAGAACTGGAAGAGTGTGAAGTGACCTTGGAGTCTTTTTGCTTTCCTCTGCAGCGTGTGGGTGTGGGTCTCTTACCGGGATTACCTGGCTAGATCTCAATCATGCCCTTGTCACTGCTGAGGACTCAGGCATTGGTGCACCTTGGTCCCTCCTATTCTCTGCCTGTGGTACATAATAGTCTAGTCTCCTGGAGTTGTACCACTCTGGTCTAATTTTAGTTGTTGGGTTTAGTTTGTGGATGCTGGTTGGAGTTGGTGGCCTGTGATGTACAGGAGGTCAGACTAGATGCTCTGGTGGTCCCTTCTGGCCTTAAACTCTACAAGAAGAGCATGGGGAAGCTTCACCTGCAGGAATGTCAGCTCTGGAAGACTGCATGTAGCTGCCAAAAGTAGTACAAACAACTGTGCTGTAAGTCCATGGGAGAGTGTGGAAGGAACACTGTTGCTGGGTAGAGGAGGTGAGACTCAGTGTGCTGTCATGTGATGGTGGGCTTGATTAGATTTGACTCATTTCCTAAAAAATTGGATAAAAATTCCAATTTCAGTTCAGTATATGAATGGTGTTTGGAGCATTCAACCTATGCAGAAAAATATAGTCTTTAGATAAGAATAACCTAATTTACTGAAGGCTTCTTAGCTGTCTGCCAGGAACCAACAAAAACTCCCAAAGACTCCTGTCCTAGCATGCATTGGTTCTTGTACAAATAGCTGGATGGGTTTTACAATTTGGTTGTTCCATATTCCTGGTGAAGAACATGGAAGGAATTTTTCCAGAAAATCACTATCAGCACCTGGTTGCACTGTTCTGTGAGTGAATGCAAAGCTTGTGAAAGTGAGGGGTTTGGATGGATACTGAGGACCTTTTGCCTCCTCTTACCCTACAGCTCTGCTAATGCATCTGATCAAATCTGGCCTGATGTGTCCTGACATGAATGCTCTGGAGAAATGGTTGCTAAGTGGAGAAAACCAGACACAACTGCCCACGTTCATGACCCTGTGATCAGGTACAGCGGGAATGTATCACACTCCCATGTACACAGACTTTGTATTTCTAGACATTCTAAATCCCTATTTGGATAGGCATTAGATAGGGTTATTTAATAAATGTGTATGTGAAATAATTATAACAGGCGCATTTGCAATCATGAACACTATAAATAATCCTTATAAAAGTCTTGCCAGATCAGATGAATTCAATGCCAGCGACTTACCTCCTTAAATATAGCTTCTCTAGATATTACTCACCAATTAAATATTTGAAGGCAGCATTAGCACCAGCACCTGTGACGGCAGTTTTGCTGAACATAGGAAAGGAGGCACCATAAGTCTTTCGGGCAAAGCTCTCAATTTCTTTGTTACTGTCTGGCTCTTGCTGCCCAAATTGATTACATGGGAATGCCAGCACATTAAAATGGTGCGGGCCAAGGTCTCTCTGTAATTGTTGTAGAGCTTTGTAGTGGCTATCTGTAAATCCGCACTCACTTGCAACATTGACGACCAGAGATACCTAAACACAAGAGATTAAAACACACTGCATATCTCCGTTTGACATGAGCTTCCCCCAAGGAGGTTTGACTGCAGATCATTCTCAGCAGAATAAAAATATCCAGGTTGAGAATCTTCAGTGAACTGGGATTGAGCATCTTGCTACTGTTTGAAACTGTTTCAAATTCTTTTGATTATTTAGGGAGACTTAGTTTTTAATATTCACTTTATTGAAGTCAGATGTAGCATCCATGCTGAGAAAATACATTCTAAATTCGTTGGGGGTATTAATTCTGTTTTCAGAAAAACCAGCATCTCCTCTGTCCTGTCTCCTTGGCATTTTCTAAACATTTATTATAGTATAAACAATCCAGCACATGTAAAGAAATGACTGTTCACATGAGGTTGTTTGGTGCATATTAATTATTCCAGGTCTTTCAAATGTTTTTAGATGTGCAACATCTTCCCCCTCACAGCATTGATGCTGAATCAACTGATGCACTTAAGGCTAGAGGGGCCATCATGATAATGTAGCTTGACCAACATAACATGGGACATTAAACTTCACTCTGTGATTACTGCATCAAGCCCACTAACTTGTGGGTATCTTTCAGAAAGCCATCCAGTTTCAATTAAAGACTCCAAGTGGTGGAGAATTTACCACTTCCCTTGGGAAGCTGCCTCAGTAGTTAAGTAGCCTTAAAAATGTGAATCCTTTTTCCAGCTGGAATTTTTCTGACTTCATCTTCCATCATCCTTGAGCTTCTGGACTATTGTATTACACACAATTACATTGTTATAAATGTACATTCTGTGGGCTACAACACTTCTCCCACATGCCACTGCCTTTGGAGCCCTGCTGTTGGGAGGGTGTGCAGCATAGTAGGGCTTCACTTGAACAATAGCACAGCCTCAAGCTGTAATCATTGTTAAGCAGATTCTGCAAAGGATCCATGGTGGGGACCTTCCCCAGGCCTGATGTACCTTACACACAGTGCTCTACAGACAGATCCCTAACATCAGGGAGCACCCTCCACAGAATCTGGAGACGGAGCAAGATAGTGGTGCCTGTCCCCAAACCTCAGTAGAGCCACATACCAATGGTGCACATGCAGGAGTGAGGAGGGGAGAAATGAGGCCATGTGGGAAGCATTCCCTCACTCTGTGTGTGTGTGTGTGTGTGTGTGTGTGTCTGTGTGTACACAGATCTCAAATATGCCAGTCATCGAGGTAAAGAGAATATTGTGGCCCACTGAAATGAAGCTCTTACACCCTTTTTACATGTTTGAATAAGAAAGTTTGAGCCTGCTCCCATTGACATGAACAGGAGTTTCACCATTGACTACCCTGGTTTGGGATTGGGGTTCAAAGTTAGGACTTGTGGAGCCAGAGTCAGTCTGGGTGTAAGCAGATCCAACTCTGCTGAAATCAGCTGAGTCACACATGTCTACACCAACCATGGCCACATCTGCCCATGGAGCTAAATTCTTCTCTTAATCCCACTGATTTCCATGGGGCTACTGAAAGCAGAATTTGTGCATGTGTTTCTTTCCTGATCTGTACATGAACTCAGACTTCACGTATTTTTGTTAAATGATTTGAGTTCTCAGAACAGCCCTAAAATTCTAAATAATAGTGGAAGTTGTTATTAATGCAGGCTTCAAATATGCTTTGAAGATTTTTAAAAATATTTAATCCTTACAAAACGTTCAGGAGATCTTAGGGTATTCTTGCAGCTGCTACAAGGGAGAACTGCAACTCGCTTCCTAAAATAACCCTCCTCTAATGTTTTCTTTGGAGGCAATTAAAACCAATTGCCATAGATCTTTCGGATGTTCTAATAATTAATTACAATATTCTGCACTTATGCAGTGCTGCATGTTATCTGCATAGTGCTACAAACTTTTTCACTTTAAATAGCACTTTATAAACGTTAACCAATTAAATTCACCAGTTAGAATAATTAGAGAAGTTTCTTCTCAACCAGAAAATTTAATTCAAGTATATTGTAGAAAAGAGTTAGGATTCCAGCCCAAATCCTATTGGGCTTACACCTGTGCACCCCTACTGAACTCAATGGGGCCATACAATTAATCTGCCCTGATTTATATCCTGTATCTTTGAACCAAAGAGCTCAAAGTGTTACACAAATTAATGTATCAAGTTTTACATGACCACTGTGAGATTGTGAACAGTGATTCTGACCTATGTAACAGAAAAAGGGAGTCTGAGGCACAGACTGGGGGCAGGTCTATATACTTAAGTGAAGCACTTAAGTGAAGCCACTCCTATGCTGATGGGAGAGAGCTCTCCCATCAGTGTAGTTAATCCACCTCCTTGTAAGGTGATAGTTATGTCATGTGGATGAGCAGAGGGGTTCAGGGCTGTCAACCCAGCACCTTTCCTGAGCACTAAAAATTCACTCAGAGCCTTTCCTCCCCCTGCTATAAAATTCACAATGAAATATCATAGGCCAATCAATAAAGCACATCAAAACTTGGTTCAGTTGAAAGGGAAAAATAAAATATGGTTGCAGATTGTACAATAAATACAGGGCAACAAATTCTTAGCCACCAAGAATTCATGGGTGCCATTATATTGGACACTGTGGCCATTCAGAACTTCACAGCAGGAGAGAACCCAAGTTCTCCTGCACCAAAAGCACAGGCCCCATTCACTTGAGGGAGAACACTTTAGCTGTTCTAAGGTTAAGGTCTAAAGCAGTAGTCCCCAAACTGTGGGGTGTGCCCTCTGGGGGAGGGAGGGTACAGCGGAATGTTTGGGGGACATGGTGGGGCCCAGGCCAGCCCCCACAAGGGGTGTGGAGGGAGCCCTAACTCTGCCCCAGCTGTGCTCCTGGTTCTGGCTCCTGGCTGCAGCTCTGCTCTTGGACCCCAGCCCTAACCACAGCCCCACTCCCAGCTGCAAACCCGGCCATGACCGTGGCCCTGTTCCCAGCTGTGGTTCGAGGGGAGTGTGTGTGGGGATGAGCTGGACGAGCACAAGTCCATGGGACCGGATGCGCTGCATCCAAGAGTGCTAAAGGAGTTGGTGGATGTGATTGCAGAGCCATTGGCCGTTATCTTTGAAAACTCATGGTGATCGGGGGAAGTCCCGGACGACTGGAAAAAGGCTAATGTAGTGCCCATCTTTAAAAAAGGGAAGAAGGAGGATCCTGGGAACTACAGGCCAGTCAGCCTCACCTCAGTCCCTGGAAACATCATGGAGCAGGTCCTCAAGGAATCAATTCCGAAGCACTTAGAAGAGAGGAAAGTGATCAGGAATAGTCAGCATGGATTCACCAAGGGAAGGTCATGCCTGACTAATCTAATTGCCTTCTATGACGAGATAACTGGCTCTGTGGATGAAGGGAAAGCAGTGGACATGTTGTTCCTTGACTTTAGCAAAGCTTTTGACTTGGTCTCCCACAGTATTCTTGCCAGTAAGTTAAAGAAGTATGAGCTGGATGAATGGTGGATAGAAAGTTGGCTAGATTGTCGGGCTCAACGGGTGGTGATCAATGGCTCCATGTCTAGTTGGCAGCCGGTATCAAGTGGAGTGCCCCAAGGGTCGGTCCTCGAGCTGGTTTTGTTCAATATCTTCATAAATGATCTGGAGAATGGTGTGGATTGCACCCTCTGCAAGTTTGCAGACGACACTAAACTAGGAGGAGAGGTAGATACGCCGGAGGGTAGGGATAGGATACAGAGCGCCCTAGACAAATTAGAGGATTGGGCCAAAAGAAATCTGATGAGGTTCAACAAAGACAAGTGCAGAGTCCCATGAATCCCATGCACCACTACAGACTAGGGACCGAATGGCTAGGCAGCAGTTCTGCAGAAAAGGACCTAGGGGTTACAGTGGACGAGAAGCTGGATATGAGTCAACAATGTGCCCTTGTTGCCAAGAAGGCCAATGGCATTTTGGGATGTATAAGTAGGGGCATAGCGAGCAGATTGAGGGACGTGATCATTCCCCTCTATTCAACATTGGTGAGGCCTCATCTGGAGTACTGTGTCCAGTTTTGGGCCCCACACTACAAGAAGGATGTGGAAAAATTGGAAAACGTCCAGCGGAGGGCAACAAAAATTATTAGGGGACTGGAACTGGGATTGTTTAGTCTGTGGAAGAGAAGAATGAGGGGGGATTTGATAGGTGCTTTCAACTACCTGAAAGGGGGTTCCAAAGAGGATGGATCTAGACTGTTCTCAGTGGTAGCAGATGACAGAACAAGGAGTAATGGTCTCAAGTTGCAGTGGGGGAGGTTTAGGTTGGATATTAGGAAAAACTTTTTCACTAGGAGGGTGGTGAAACACTGGAATGTGTTACCTAGTGAGGTGGTGGAATCTCCTTCCTTAGAAGTTTTTAAGGTCAGGCTTGACAAAGCCCTGGCTGGGATGATTTAGTTGGGGATTGGTCCTGCTTTGAGCAGGGGGTTGGACTAGATGACCTCCTGAGGTCCCTTCCAACCCTTATATTCTATGATTCTGTGGGGGTGGGGGGTAGTGGTAAGGGAGCACAAGATAAAAAGTTCTGGGACCCCTGGTCTATAGCCTGCAGTTGGGCAGTTCTAATTGCACCTAATAGAGGGCAACGATGCACATACACAGTATAGCTGATCACAATACAGTATTTAAAACTGGTCTCTACATCCTCCCTTAGTTTTCTCTCAGAAAAACAAACCCATAAAACAAAAGTTTATTTTAATAATCCTTAATGGTTTATTGTGACAACAAGGCACAATCTAGGGAATCCCTATGCACTGGCATACAAAGTATGTTCTGGTGCCATCTAGCTAACTTTCAAAGTATCAACATATAGATACAGACTGAATGAACATGGTCTACTTGCTTTTTGATGCTCATTAAAAAAATGATGTATTAAATTTGTGACTGAACTCTGTAAAGGAGAATTGTATGTCTCCTGCTCTGTGGTTTTACCCACATTCTGCCATGTTTTGTGTTATTGCAGTCTCTGATGACGACGCAGCATATATTGTTTGATTTAAGGACACTTTTACTG